AACGAATTTCGGTGGGCGCTCACCTGGCGAACTAAACGGCAGCAATGATTAAATTAAGCGCGGGGCCCAGGCTGCTTGTGCAATGTATATGGGTTATATAATCACCACGCCCGCACATTGAAACTGGCTTTGAATAGCTGTGGAAGGTTTAAGCCATGACTTTGCGAGCGTAATTCAATGTTGAGTTCAGTCCATTATCATGAGGCAGGTGGGTGATGGGCTGTGGAGGAGTTACAACCGCAGCCACGGCTGCCCTCATCATAACGCGCTGCTCACCGATTCGCCTGTCATATCACCTGGTCAAGCGATAACACTATCGTTTGGCCTCCAGTGTTTACTTCTCCAACTGCTACCATTAAACCCCACCCCCCCCACTGCTGGCGGCCACCTTTGCCGATGAAATTTTGCCCCAGCGTCCAATTTGCCCACAGGCGTAATCGCCGCGGTCGCCGCTTGCACTGCGTCTGCCCCACTCGCCCCGCCGCCAGGCATCAAAGCGCAGCACCGACGGCTCTGCCGTGCGGCAGCTCCAAAAACCCGACCCCCCGCGCAAGGGGTGCGTGGTGCAAATTGACGGCTCGAACCGCCTCCGCACTCGGCGAGCATTCCGCACGCAGCGAAATTTGTAATTTTGCCTCGTTTTACAGATTTCGCTTCGGTTGAGACGTCGTGCTCCTAAGTGGGCCCAGTTTGCAGGGAGCTGTCGGCGGCGCTTTTGAGAAGAGAGGCTCGGTAGCTCGCACCACCCCCCCCCATCGCGGTGGGAAACTCAGGGGGGGTGGGGGGGGCTCTTTCGGAAATTTTGGGGAATGCGCCTCCGCAGCAGCCCCACGTTTATCGCCTCTGCTTCATATCCTGCCAAGCCTTTTATCTGGCCCACAATGCCGCTGGCTCGGCACGTTGCGGCCCGGTTATTTTGTTGTATTTTCCCTTTATTCCTTTGTGGAACGCGCCGAGCAAATTGCGGCGCGCACTCGCGCCCTTTGAAGCAGGCGGGGGGCGAGAGCGCGGTGGCGGCGGCGGGGTTGCGTCTTTAAATAGATTAGCGGCATGCGCACGCGCCTTGGCCAATAATTGGTCGTGCGTCGGTGATGAGTATCTGGTCGATCGACAAACACCCCATACGTGTCCCCGTCACCACGGCGTCTTTATTCCATTTTTTGGCGGCAACGCGTTCTGCTGTAGGAGGGTGGGGTACTGCAAGAGTCGTATGAATTCTAACATTTCCGCTGCGCACGCCAGAGTGTTTAATATCTTTTTGCCTCGGATGGTGTTCGCTCGAATAGCAACTCCGATTGCGTCGCTGAATGCAATGACGGCGTTCGTTTCGAGATTTGTTCGTGTATAGTTTTGGCGGGCGCCAGCCGAGCGCTTGCGACTGCCGAGGAAGCGGGCCTGGTGAACAGTGACGGCACGCAGCGGCTACGCTTGCCTTTCCTGTAGCCCGGCCCGAACGCGTTGCCTGAGAGAGAGAAAGATAGACCGGAGCAAATTCTCGCGCAGTCTTTCTCCTCTCTCTCCCGGGCAAGAGACGGCGATCGCCGCTCCGCTGGATCTCTGCCTCCCCGTGTGCACCAATCCGCTTCATTGAGCGTGCGGAGCAGGACGGCGCGACGGAGCGTTCATCTGCCTGCACTCTCCGAGGTGGAATCCTGGGGGCTCGGCAGGGGAGGGGAGTGGGGGCCGCCGTGTTGGCACACGTCGGCCGACTCGCCCAGCCGATGTCGTTGGCTCCATTCCGGCCGTGCTAATCACCAGATGGGCCGTTTGGTCTCGAGCGCCCGCCGGGGGAGGGGGGGGAGCAGTGTCAAGTGACTGCATCGTCGTCGTCGTCGTCGTCATCGTCGGTCCGATCGGCGAGCGCTCGCAAACGCCGGGCCAACCCGGCCACCCGGCCACACCGCCGGGCGAGGTCTCCACATGCGTGCGTGCATTTTCTCCGGACACTGCGGTTTGTTCCCACGTGAAGTATAATACTACGCGGAACTGATCTCGCATGCAAAGTAGGACTCTCCGGTATCATGAGTCTTGAGACTCTGTGAGACATTCATGGGTGTTTATTCACAGTATTATACTGTCGCTTCTACTGATATTGCAGCTGCTTCTGGCACCACTGCCGCCACCTCTGCTTGTTGAACAGCCGGAAGAGGTGCGGCAATGACGATAATAGCAACAGGAAGCGTGGAGAGCGGAGAAGGCTGAGTTCCAGGAAGCGTCGTGTGCTGGACAGGAGCCAGTGGATAACGGCACAAGCTCACCACAACAGAGACACGCAGCACACCGGTGGTGACAGTGAGGAGGAGGGGGTGGGAGGAGAGGGGGTGGGGGTGGTGACGGTGGACTGGGGAGAAAAGTGAAGAATGCCTTCTGCTCCTCGACAGAAATGGTGGATGGAATAAGAAAGTACCCTGGGGCCCTCACCTTTCGAGGGTAATCATAAATCAAATCTGAAACGGAGAAGGGACGGGAGGAAGGGGGGGATAGGAGGGAGGGTGCGTGGGTGGGTGGGATTTAGATGTTCCTCACGAATATCACCAGGAGAGGATTACTGAGAATTAAGACGCTTATTTAGGAGGGTGCTGCACTGGAATGTTTGGCATATGAGACGACACCGACATACCCAGAAGAAACACAATTCTTACCCCGGGCACTCCAGCCTCGGGCACAGATGATGTCAATTCGATTTGTTGTGCTGCCATCTTCTGGCCGGCTCGCAGCCCAGCGGGAGCCTGCGCGACGCGCCGACCCCCCCCCCCCCTCGCCTCGGAAGCGCTGGATGGCGAGCGGGCGGGCGCCACCGAAGCCGGAGACGCGCCTCCTGCGCTCTCGGAACGTGGCGGGGGGCGGCGCGGCGACGCGCGTCCCGTGCCACGTGCCACGCTCGCCGACTGCCCAACCAGTTGGCGTCGGAGTGACGGGGGACTGGAGCTCACGAGGGTGGAGCGGCGACGGGGGATCGGCGGGGGCTCGGGGCCTCCCTCGCGAACGAGCTGTCTTGTCTCGACGTGTCCTCGGCCGAGTTCGTTCGTCCGTTGTTTGCATTCGGGTTTTTGTTCTCTGGCATTATGGGCTGAATTCAACTTCACGGAATTTAAAAAAACGTGCCGCTGCGATGCGAGGCACAACAGAGCGCGCGGAGCTATCGCTCGGCGGCCGTGAAAGGTAGGCGATTGAAACCCGAAAGTGCCTGCCACTGCAACTAAATGAACCTTGGCTGTTGATGGGGGAGCAAGGTGGGAGCCGGCTGAGGACTCGGGGTGGGAGAGCCGCTCGGCCAGGGTGGGATCGGCTCTTTGATGTGAAATGTTCGTCCCAGCGGGTGAGCATTGGCGCCTCCGTGGCTCGATCCGTGGCGTCATCCGGTCCAGCTCGCGCGCACGTTCCGCTCGGATTTGAAAGCCCACGCGGCCGATCTTAAATCTTGAAAGTCAGCGCACCGCGGTGTGTCACCGGCTCCGCCCCCGCTCGTCACGCACCACCACGACTCGCTCGCCTCTCATCTTCCCTCCGCTGCCCCCCCCCCCCCTCCGCTGCCCCCTTGTTTTTGTTTGCGAGCATCGCCGATGTCCGCCGCCGGCGTCCGTCGCCGCGTGCGTGTGAGCGAGGCCGTGATAGGATCGGCACGCGCACTAAGAGTTTAGAGAAAAGGTTATTTGTGTTTTGTTTGCCGTGCGCAGGCAGAGAGGCCCGGCGCACCGAGACGGAGAAATCCAATTTGAAAAAGACAAGCAACAAATGTCTTGGAAGGGAGAAAAAAAAAGAGAATTAAATTGCAGCTGGGAGACAGGAGCCGCGCTTTGCACTAACCCTGATCTCTACCGGCGGCAGCGGCAGCTGCTGGTAAATTCCGTGTCACGCCCGGGAGAAAAGAAAGTCGGGGAAGCTCCGGATTCGATAAACGGATACCCGTTCTTTAAGGTGCAGAAATCTCAGATGACGACCATGATCGATGTTTGAAAATGTTATTTTTTTCCAAGTTGACCGTGCGCGTGAATGGGATGTAGGAATGTGCCGTGAGCGGCACGGTGGACCGAGCGCGTCTGCGGATCTCGCCGTGCCGCCGCACGGGAGCCGCCGGGGTGGCCTTTCAGCCGAGCCCGCGGCCTTTGCAGGGCTCAGAACTTCCGAGGATATTGATGCTCAAACGAGCACAAATGTCAGGGGTCTCCTCATTCGTAACCGGGCTCTGTACCCCGGCACGTTTGACCAATGACCAATGTGCGTCGAGCGTGAAACGACAGAATTTTGTGTGCGTTCAGTGTTTGTCTCGTGCCCACTCGACTTGTCATCGCTGTACTCACCATCATTGTACTTGTGGTTTTTGTCTGGCATGTTGAAATTTATTTCAATTTACATCTTGCGCAAAGTGGTAGAACGAGCAGTCGCGTGAAGGGCGCCGATGGTGAGTGATAATGGTGGTGTCTATGGTAATGATCGGAAGCAGTGTTGAATCGCGATCGCGATTAAGCTTTGCATCGACATAAAACGATTCCATGGCTTTGACAGGAGGAGTATGCCATCATGCATACTCGTAGGGCGCCACAGTGGCGAGATGTTATCTCCCTCGCCTGGTCTACAGGAGGTCGCGGGTTCGATCCCGACCCAGGCGCCTGCTGTATATTTGGAGTTTGCATGTTCTCCCCATGGTCGTGTGGATTTTTCTCCGGGTCCTCCAGTTTTTCCTCTCCACATTTAGAAACACGCTTTAAGAGTATTTGGCCGCTGTAAATTTCCACGTGATGATAAGCCTCTTCTTTGAGCTGTCACTTGTTGTAAAATAAAAAATAATTTCGTTTATTCGTATTGTGAGAACCCGGGTTAATCACGGGAGGCCAACACCCAGATTCAGCCCCACGATCTCGGCAGTCCCAGCTCGGCGCCCCGTACTCCTGAGCCCCCCCACCCCCACCGTGCAACAAGTAACCAAATAACTCCTCGATCGCTCGGAGGAGCGAGGAGCGCGGGCGCTGAGCCTGACGTCTGCGGCGCCTCTCCCGCAGGTGAAGCCGCACGCGCTGGCCGCCTTCCTGCAGGAGAAGAAGGAGGACGGCTACAGCATCGTGGGCGCAGAGCAGACGGCCAACAGCCACGACCTCACGGCCTTCCGCTTCCCCGCACGCACGCTGCTGCTGCTCGGGTACGATGGCCCCCCCACCTCCCGCACCCCAAGATCCCCCGCACCCTCCCCCCCGCACACCCCCCCCCCCTGCGCGCCCACTCGGGCTGTCCGCGAACGACCCCGTGACCTCGAGCATCCGTGACCTCGCACGACCTTCTCTAAGGAAACCCGTGTGACCTAGTTACCGTGTCGCTACGGGGAGCAGCAGCCAAGGAATGGAACGCGTCCGACAGCCACGTCCATCCGGGAGACGAAGCGATGGAATTAGTTCGCGTGCAGGTGCTGGGCGAATCACTGTATTGCAGAGGTGGTGACGGCTTGGGGAGAGGCCTTCATCGAACGAACAAACAAATGATGGAGAGAGGGGACAGGATCCCGGTGTTGGCGCTGTCAACAGTGCAGGTTGATCGTGGCTGACGGCGACGATGTCGATGAGCGACGGTGCCCGGGTACGTGTTGCCCGGTGTCGGCCATAGCTGCTATCGGACGATACCGGGGCAACGCCTTCGCAGCTCTCAGCCGTGTCGGCCGGATGGCTTGGTGTTTAGAGCGTGCACCACGCGATCAGAACGGTTTGCGAGTTCAAATCCTCAGCCCTTCATTGTAATCGTCGTCAGCCACTGGTAGATGAAGGCCTCCCCAACTCTTCTGTAAAGGCCTGTAGGGCCCTGTAGGGTTGACGCGTCCCTCACATCCGACTCTTCTGCCCTGGGTCTCTTCCTCGGCGGGCACCACCGGATCTACCCACCGGTTTCCCCCGCTGCTCGCTGCCAGCGAGAGCGGTGCAACTGCGACGTGGCCCGACGAGCGGGCGCGGGGTCGTTTGTTTAGCAGCGTTGGTGGCGCGCGCGGCGCCTGTCCCTGTGCGCTCGCGCACGGCAACGTGCAGGCAGCTGCAGCGAGGTTGTTTGCGTGCGTCCGTACGCGCGTGTGTGTCTGCGTGCGTGTGGGGAACGGCAGTGTAGCGGTTAGCGCGCTGCTCTACGAACCTGGCGACCCGGTTTCGATACCCGCTCACGGCCAACACCGGTGACGAGTATCTGAACCGGTCCTGGGCCTCCCTCTAGGTCGACTCAACCTCAAATGAGTACCTGGTGTGTAAACATCGCCAAGAGGAAGACCAAGGCGGCCGGGCGTGGTGCTGGACACCCACCCCCTTCGTGTGCCGTGCTGGCATTTATAGGTGCTCGCTAACAGCACTTGCTCCTCCAGTCTGTTAAGGCTACACGGGGGATATTTGTTTTGTCCGTGCGTGCGCGCGTGCCTGTTGTTGTAGTCTGTGTGCATTTGCCTTTCTGCGCAGTGTGAATTTTCCATCTTGTCAGTTTCAGTGCAACTATGACATAGCACGTGCTCCACGGGAGGTAGTGCACCACCCATAGAGGTGTAGCCAATAGGTCGCCAGTAATTCATCCCGAGCGATTCACCGAATTGGCTTGCTACGGGTGTCGCCTACGAATTTGATATTCTCTTTGACTTTTGTACATGAGCCTACACGCAACATTCGCCTACACTTTACGCCATCGTGGTCGGTGCTTCATGCGCTCGCAGTGCGTGGACAGCGAGAATAAGAAACGACGTTAATTGATGCGTCATTACTCGCGCTCGGTTACTGTGCATGTGTCAGCTCTGGGCGTTCATTATTGCATCGCAAACCCCCCTTGCCTTGTCTGCTCTGATGAAGGGAAGTTGAATGAAGCATTGTTGTGCGTACTATTTTTAGTTGAGTTATAAGGGAGTGTTAATGATGACAGTGGCCAGGTATTGTGTCATTCTGGGCTGGAGAAACTGACTGTCCCATTAACCCCGTGTGCGCCTGTGTGTGCATGTGCATATGGCTAACAGCACTTTCCCCAACAGTCTGTTAAGGCTATATGGGGGATGTTTGTCTTTGGAGGATGGTGGCGCATGGTTAGAGCATTGCGCTACAAACCCGGCAACCTGACTTTGATCCCCGCTCATGAGCAACAACGGTGGTGGATATTTGAAACGGTCGAGAGCCTCACCGAGATCGACTCGGCCTTCAATGAGCTGCAAGTGCGGTGTAGCCGGCCGTGGTGTTAGCTCACGGCACTTGCTCCAACAGTCTGTTCAAAAGGCTATATACGGGGAATCTTTAGTCTTTTTCTTTGTGTGTGCATACAAGGGGCGTGCGCGTGTGTTGCCACGTGTGTTTGCGCACTCACGTGCGTGTGCGCGTGTGTATGTGTACACGTGTGTGTGTGTATGTGTACACGTGCGTGTGCAGTAACGAGCGCGAGGGGGTGCCCGCGGGGCTGCTGCAGCAGCTGGACGCGTGCGTCCAGATCCCGCAGCTCGGGGTCGTGCGCTCGCTCAACGTGCACGTCAGCGGCGCCCTGCTCGTGTGGGAGTACGCGCGCCAGCACCTGCTGTGCCCGCGCTGAGGCCCGCGCTGAGGCCCAAGCCGCCCCTCCTCCTCCCCCTCGTCAGCGGCATCCGTGGGGTGGTTGGCTCTGCCGTTTCACATCCTCATCGGGCATCGCTTCTGCCCTGTCGGTGCCACCAGGAGATCTGGACTCTTCGCCCTGCGTCTTCCCTGTCCTCTGTCCCACATTGAGAGGCCATCCTTAACTTCATGTGCCTTGTGTGTGCCTGCGTGTCTTTGTGTGTGTTTGTGTGTGTCTGTGGAACAATGGTGGTACCTGGGTCTGCGTACTGCATTACGAACCCAGCAACATGAGTTTGATTCCTGGCTACTGCTATCTGAACATATTCTGAGCATTCCCTAAGTCATCTAAGCCTTAAATTAGTTCACAAAAGCGGCCGGCCGGGCATGGTGGTGGCCACACCATTCTCCTCTTTCCCCACAGTCTGTCGTGGTTATATACGAGACCTTTGTCTTTGTGTGCACGTGTTTGTGGGTTACACATGTGCACCTATGCAAATACAATGATCCCCCGTATAGCCTTAACAGACTGTTAGGGCAAGTGCTGTTAGCGAGCACCTATAAAGGCCGGCACGGCACACGAGGGAGTGGGTGGCCAACACCACGCCCGGCCGCCTTTGTCTCCCTAGTGGCGATGTTTACTGCACACCGCACCAGGTACTCATTTGAGGCAGAGTCGACCTAGGGGAGGCCCAGGACCGGTGTTTGCCATAAGCGGGAATTAAACCCGGGTCGCCAGGTTCGTAGCGCAGCGCGCTAACCGCTACACCACTGCACCTATGCACACCTTCACACACATACACGGTACAAAGCACCTCGGGTGAGTACCTGGTGCCGTGTGTAAACACCACCCACTGGGGAGGCACAGGGGTGGCCAGGCGCGGTGTTGGCCACGGCACCCCCACGTCCGCCGTGCTGGCTCGCTAACGGCACTCACCCCAGCATGTATGTCCATCAATGTGGGTACGGATCCTATTTTTAGCAACTGGTCTAATGTGAATCGTCGGTGTTGATGTGATTGCCGATGTGAATCGCGCGCGTTTTCACTCCCATGTCAGCAGCTGCTATTCATGAATTCCCGCCGTGCGCAAAGATTTTCTTAGTGGTTCACTTCACCGGCGTACCGACTCCAGAATGTGCCAATAAGTGTAACGAATAAACGAGCACCATGATGTGTACAAACGCATTTCGACTGATGCTGCTGTGTGCGCCGCACTGCACTGTGGGTGGTGAGCGCTAACGAGGGAGCTGGGGGGGTGTTGTTGCTGTTGCTGGTCATGTTGCTCTTGATAATTGGTGGTGGTTTTGCTGTTGGTGGTGGTGCTGCTGCTGCTGGTAGAGTTGATGGTACTAGCACGCTGCACTACAAACCCAGCGACTCGAGGCCGATTCCCGCTCACAGCCACCAACGCCGGTGATGATCATCTGAACCGGTCCTGGGCCTCCTCTAATTCGACTCGGCCTCAAATGAGTACCTGGTGCGATGTGTAAACGTCGCCGCTAGGGAGACAAAGGCGGCGGCCCGACGTGGTGCTGGCCACCCACCACCTCGTGTGCCGTGCCAGCCTTCATAGGTGCTACTCGCTAACAGCGCTGGCCCCAAGAGCCTATTAGGATTACATGGGGGATCTTGTATTTGTTGCTAGTGCTGACGCTGTTGTTGCTGAATGCCGAACAGGTCGGATCACAGCAGAGTCAGGTGCTGGTCCTTCACGTGTGCTCAGGAGTTGGTAACGAGGCTCGAGAGTACGGGCAGCCTTCGGGCACGGCCCCACGCTCTTGAGCAACTCAGCTGCTCATGGGGCATGGTAACCTTGTTGAGGTAACCTTGTTGAGGTAACCTTGCCGCATGCGCGCGATTGTACGGAGACCAAAAGACCGACATCCTCAGTGCTGTTGGCAAGCGATCATCTGGGTTGGGGCTGTGCTCCACCAGTAGAATGTATTCTCCCGATGCTGAATAACGAAGTCCATCATTGCGAATGTCGTCCATGGTTCTGAATGATTGGTACTAAAATGGTCCTGCCGCACCTGCTGTGGAATGACGCTGTCCCTGGTACTGGCTGAGAACATTATTGTGGTGTTGAAACGATGATGGCAATGTGTCCCTGTACCAGCCTTGGTGCAAATCACCTCGAAGGCGCCCAATCTTGTCATACAGTAGTGTAAGCTAAGCGGTGTAGGGCCTGGTTAGAACTTGAATGGGTGACCACGCAGGCTTTGCCAGGTGTTGTCGGCTTGGGGCTGCGGGGTGGTTGGGAATTTGCAGTGCTCAGTATGGCATTTCTTGCATGGTTTTTTTTCTCAGGGTGCGGCTATTTCCTTCCACGTGCCAGCCGCTCTCGCGTGGCACTGCTTCAACTAAACTCCCCCATTGCAGTGTCCTCCTGGAAGAGGCTTGAGGCTCAGTGAGGCCTTCTTTGGTAAATAAATAATTGTTTCCATCGTATTGAATTCCATACCCATATAGACGGAATACCACCCTAGTTACTAGCAGCCATGTTCTATCAACTGCTGGATGAAGGCCTCCCCCACGCGATCATCGACCCTCATGGTCCTACGATTCCACAATCCGTCTGACTCCTGTACATGATCTGATCTCATTGCTCTGTCTCCGCAGTATGTATGTTGAACATCTTTCGCACGTACGTAGCCAAGTATGCTACATTACTTCGAAATAAATCAGTTTTCAATATAGATGTAAACGTGCATAGCTCCAGTGGCTTCCTAATATCGGAAGGGAGAGCATTCCAGACGGCCGCAGAAGCGCATCTGAAAGCGCCATGCGATGCAGTGACCACCGTTTTTGTCGGATGGCCAGCCAGAAGCCGCTGCTGGTAGGACGATCGGAGTTTGCGCGGTGATGGCTTACGTGTGTTCATCCCCCAGGCGCATTCTCTTCTTGACTGCCACTCCATCACTCGTGCATCTGCCACAATGCCCTCTAGCAACGTGTCTTGCTTAAACCCACTTAATTAAAATGAGGCACGTGTTTGCTTTCTGATCCATCTGTTGTTCATCTTGCCGTGGCTCGGTGTGATTCCAGGGATGTATCTCGTCATACCTCCTTGTGCACGTTTTGACTCTTCTCTTTTGTGTCTCAGTGTCCATGTTTCTGAGACGTATCTTCTGGCGAAGTGCGCAGGTTGAAAACTTTCAAGTTGAGATTTCCAAAAATGTCCCTTTCCATGTGAGAACAGAATCCAGCTCCAGTAGGAGGCTGAATCTCACTCATCAGAATGTGAATCCACACTCATTGTGAATCCGACTCGAGCCAGCATGGTTCCCACCTTCGTAAATATACACGACTAGCTGTACTAGCCGACTTCGCTCGAGACTTGGATTCTTGTCTTGGATTAATGCACGGCCGACACGGAGGGTGGGGGAGATGCGTGACGTCAGCAGGCACACTGCGTGACGCTGCCGCATGCGGGTGACCTCACAGATGTGACGTCACCGCTCACTTGCCGTGCAAAATATATGCATTATTGCGCCCCCCCAAAAAATACAAAAGTCTATTTTTATACTTTTTTCATTGTGTATAGTCTGGAAGCTATCCACATGCCAACTTTCAAGTTTGTTGCATGTTGGGGAGTATGATAAACATTTCTAACAAACACATTCAAAATTTCCCTTTTATATATATAGATAGAAAATGGCTTGTGGGTAAGACAGGCAAGATGAGGTCTAAATTACTAAAATACAGGCACATTGTCTGGATCGTTCAGCGGCCTCTTGAGTCAACAGTGTTCAGCTTTAGCAGACCCCTTGGGAGTCTCGTATAGAAAGACCAGCCATGCAACATGCATGCAGCGTCACCGAGACAAACAGACTCGCACAGAGACCCATAGACTCGGGCCGAGGACCCATAGAAAACACACAGACCGACAAATATATCTAGCATGGAAATGGCAGCTTTTGATCACGTGTGCAAGCACCCTCCTTCACGTCACAGCAGCTGCAGTGGGATATCGCAGATGCCCCCGGGAATGGTCGGCTTTGTGACATAGAACCTCATCGCACGTTGTGAACCCTCTTGAGATGGTTCCAAAGGCGCCGCGCTCATCCAGCCCGCGTGATTATGCGCGATTTGCTGATGGTGGCAGAGGCTCTCTCTCTCCCCATTCCATCTACCGCGGTGAGCTGGTGATGTCCTCATCCTGCTGACAAGGGCGCAGCGTTGGCCAGATGGGGATCTCTGCTCCGAACTTCATTCCACGTGACCTTGAACAGTGGCAAATCGTGGCACAATTATCTATCTCTGCAATTCAGTTCGTCGACGGCGTGCTGACGGCGGGTGTGTTTAGATGTAGGAGGAATGTCGGCAAGGACCTGGAGCCAGACACGTTCTGTTGGTTTCCAGTGGTCGCCTTGTCCCACCAGCCACAGCACGAACCCCGCTGTCGGCAGAGTTGTAATCGCACTGTGGCCATTTCCTGTCGTGTAGGCAGCGCTCTCATTTCGCTGCCCGTGTGGACGGGGAACCCGGCGCTGTCCCGTGCGTGCACCTCTTTAATTGAGGGCGCCGTGACCCTGAATCGTAGCGAGTGAGAGGTGGGTGGCGTGAGAGATGTGGGTGGGGTGGGGTGAGGGGTGTCGTGGACCCGGGTCCCCAACTCCCATCACCGCATCCCCTTTTCCAAAAATAGGCTTCAAACAGCGGCACAAACCTCAAATTAGTCTCGCTGCCCGCTGTGCTGGCCGCGTCGGCGCATGTGGCGTGATATTTATGACGACTCCTCGGTGCGTTTCGAGGTCAATCACGACGCGTGAGATGCGTGGGCTTCACGGGGAGTCGGCGGGGGGTGGGGGGGGCTTCACTTGTTGTTTCGTTTTGAAATGTGAAACACATTTGCTCACCCTTGTGTTGTGTTTTATTATTTTCTCGCGTGTTTTATTTTTCCATCCTCCCCTTCCAATTCTACGTGAATGCTGCTGTTGGCCTCGTGTCCAGAATGCGCCTTTCCTTTTGGAACTCTTGCAGCGAACGGTGTTATCACCCCCACGTCAGAAAAGATCCTGTAAGGAGACAACATCGAACAGTGGTTCTTCTTATTCTTGGTTCTTTCGGTAAAGTCACGTAGAAGGGAAATAAAAAAATATATATAAATATAAAAAATAAAAATTATCACGACGTTTCGACTGCAACACAAGCAATCATCATCAGATGTGAAATCCACAGCAAGAAATTTTGAAAAAAGTGGCGGGTTTTCCTAACGTCAGCACAAAAGACAGCGATTTAACAGTTTATTTCCCTTCTACGTGACTTTACCGAAAGAACCAAGAATATGAATCACTGCAGTCACGAAAGCTTTAAATCAAAATTTAGTGGTTCTTCTATTTCACCAGGGGGTGCACCCCCTGGGGGTGCGAGATGCCCTTTCTGGGGGTGCGAGACGTGGCCAAATTTTTAGTTCGAAGGTAAATCCTCGAAAACACAAATTGAGCACGGGCACGTAAGTTACAACTTGCTTTGTTTGATCAAACCCTCTGTGTGTTTATTAACATTGTACATTTTTTTACGATTGGAAACCAAAGGGGTGCAAGGCTGCAGTAAAGGTGAAGAACCACTGACAGAGAACCCCTTCTGACTTCCCTTCCAATGACCTCTTTCCCCACACCAGAGGCCGCTGCACTTCCCCAACGAGCCAGATGGACTGAATGGCCCCCCTCTCGATGTTAATCTTGCGTTCTTATTCGGCATGGCCTCGTGCTTTACACAACGATGTCACCGATCACCTTTCGCCTGTCGCTGTGCACCAGGAACCGATCGGCTGCGTATGCTGTGTCGGGTGTGGGTGCTGTAATGGTCGCCGGTCGGCTTCGATCTCTCGCTTTTCAGGACCACCCATAAATAGAAACGCGTCGCACCACAGTCGATCGGGCGGGTCGCGTGCGGTGGGGTCAAGCGTGGCTGCTCCCGCTTCTTCCAGGACGTCCGGCCAGCGTGGAAGAGCGGGCGAGATGCCCGATCGAGGGAGGGCTTCTCTCGAGCTAACTCGGGCAGAGGTCTGTCCGACAGCGGTGTCGTGAGCCGGAAGTTAAAAGCGTTGTACTCTTATGGGGTATGGTCAGACAGACACGCGCAGCTTATACATTGGTCCATAAGATCTCCCACTGAGATATTTATGATTTAATTCCTGCTTATAAACTACATGGCTGAATTGGATTCGTAAATAGCGTGCTTTTAAAACCTTCCAGGTTGAATTAGAAATCTGTTTCATCCAAATGACCTTTGTACCCAACATGTCAACCATTACTCTTCTATAACGCTTCGAGTCCATGGGCCAAAACAAATTCCTTAAGACATCGGAACAACCTAATGTCTCAAGAGTTAGGGTTTAAAAAATCGTAATTAGAATAACTATGGCCATGGGTGACATTTTATAACCTCTAACAAGACTGAAAGTGTTAGTACATATGAATTAACTTTAATCGGCCATATAACGACATTGGAACTCGGGTTCATTGTTGCACGAGTTTTTACCGAGTGGCTGTGGGCTATACTCCACCAGTGGAATGTATTCTCCTGTTACCTGTTCCCGATGCTGAATAATGAAGTCCATCGTTGCGAATGATGTTGACCATGGTGCTGTCCATGGTTCTGAATTCTGTTGTTGTCCTTGGTCCTGAAATGCTCCTGCTGCCCCTGTTATGGAATGACGCTGTCCCTGGTACTGGATTATTACATTAGTGTAGTGTTGAAACGATGCTGTCCCTAATACTGACTTTGTACCTTTTATAGTGATTCATGGTTCCTGCCCGTGGTCCTGAAACAGTCCTGATCTTGGTGCTGAAACGGTGGTGTGAAATGTTCTGTCCCTGGCGCCTAATGGTGCTATTTATGGGCCTCTCCTCAGTCGCTTCAACCTAAAAATGTTACCTAATGCGATGTTTCTGCATCAGCATTGGAGCACATAACGTGGCAATACGTGGTGTTGCTTTTTGCCGAAATGTAAACAAGACCCCGCGACCCGCTTCTGTTTAAGGGTTAATCACGGACACGACGCGATGCCCGCAGTGTTTACTTCTTAAACAATTGATGCAATTAATCAAGGTGCTGTGAGTTAATGGGCAATGCAGTTTAATAATAAAAAAAACAGTCCTCAAACCGACTGCCTTTTGTACACAGTGCGTTTATTATAATGATTCACTATGCAAATAAACGATTCGTCAATTAACTAAATGGTTGGGAAATCGTTTTGCTCGTAAATCAATTGATGCCTCGACAAAGTAGTCCTTTGTTGATTAACGGAAGAGGGCACTGACGGATCGATTATTATCGGCGCTCACAGCGATGACATTTGGAGCAATGTAGACATGCGCGCGCGTGTATGGAGGAACGCCGCTCCCAACCACCGGGTCTATTAATAACGACGACGACGAACGAGTCTGTGGCGCTGCACGTGCGCCTGTGACATCCTATCGCGATCAGGCGGGGAGGATGGAGGACGTCGGGGTTTGTGTGCGGGGGAGCAGCGACGGGAGAGAGGCAGGGGATGGGGAGGGCGGCCAGTGTTGAGGGAGGGAGAAGGGGAAGGTTAGGGGCGGGGGGGGGGGCACAAAACTCACAGGCGAACCCGCGTCGCGCTCACTTGCTGCCGAGGGCTGGCTCGTGTGCGCTGCGGTGTCGCGGGTAAACGGGGTTGGGTGCCGCAACCTCTTCTCGTCCTCCTCTTCCTCGTCGGTCCACCGCTGTCTTCCAAGGTAGTCCCGCGCTCCTCTGCTCCGCTCTGCGAGGAGTGTTGCGAACCCTCACAAGCTATAAACTACGACGGCGGCGCCAATCGCTGACCTTTTGTTTTTTTTAACCCAAAACATCAGCAGCACTGGGCGCGCTGCAAGCCTCTCCGAGCCAGGAGGTTTGCCTTCCTCTCATCTCGCTCACTCCGCGGATGGCCGAGCCTCTTGTCTGGGTTCCAGGGTGCGGAGATTGGAGGAGACGGCTCGCGAAGGTCTCCCTGCGCACACCCGCGGCCCGTTGACCAACTCGTCGAGACGACGCAACCAGCGCTGCCCCGACTCGAGCGAGAAGGGCTCGACAGGAGGGGCCACGCGGAGGACTCTCGGGCGGGGGTTGGCGAGGGGGGGTGGGGTACGCTCCGTTAATGAATCAGAATCTCCGCGTTCACAGAGCGCCAGAGCACGGGGGTAGAGATAAGACTGCACGTCGTCGTCGTCGTCATCATCGTCACCCAGTCTCGGGCCTCGCGTCGTGTTCGTGTTGCGCGTTTGGGAAGTTCGCGTCTTGGGCGATTTCACCCGAGACGGCGGTGAGATGGGATAAGCTCTCCCGAGACCCCTCCGCGTGGGGACTGTGACTCACACCGCCATGGGACGCGAGCCACCTCCCGTGCCGGGGCTGAGGACTTGAGCCGTCTCGAGGAGGAGGAGGAAGAGGACTGGGACGAGTGTCGTGGCTTCGTACCCGTGGCGGAGGGTGCACGGCTGAACACGGCCCTTTTCCCATCGCTCAGATTGATCACCACCATCAATCAACAACAGCAACACAACCAGCGCCATCAGCAGCACCCGTACCACAGCCGTCAGGACCAGCAGCGGCACCAGAATTTTGTCGGCACAACGAGCACCAACAGCATTCAGCAGCTTCGCAAGCAAACCGGCACAACAACCACCATCGAGCCACCACCATCAGCAGTAGCACTTGCAACAGTAGCAACAGCAGTATCAACATCACCATCAACAGCACCCTCAACAGCAGTATCAACATCACCATCAACACCACCATCAACAGCAGTATCAACAGCAGTATCAACACCACCATCAACAGCAGTAGCACTTGCAACAGTAGCAACAGCAGTATCAACACCACCATCAACACCACCATCAACACCACCATCAACAGCAGTATCAACAGCATCAGCATCAGCGGTGGCGACGGCGCGCAGGGCGGTGCCGAGCCATGCTGTACTCCACCATGCTGTACTCCACCATGCTATACTCCACCATGCTGTACTCCACCGTGCTGTACTCCACCATGCTCTACTCCACCACCGCGCAATGCGTCAACTGCACCCCCCCGGGAGCGGCTTCCACGGAGTCCGCCGCGAGCACGCCGGGGCACCCGAGCACGCCGGGGCACCCGGGCACGCCGGGGCACCCGAGCACGCCGGGGCACCCGGGCACGGGGGGCGCGTCTCTCACGGGCGACGCGCCCGGCTCCCTGGGCCTGCAGCCCCCGCTGCGCGTCCGCACCGATCTATGGAGGGTGGCGCTGCAGCTGCTCATGGTCGTCATGTGTCTGGCGGCTGTCGCAGGTTGGTGTCAGACCACCACCACCACCTCCACCACCTGCCACCACCTGAATCATCATCACCATCACCAGCATCATCACCAGCATCATCGCCATCAGCATCAGCGTCATCTGCCTCTTGAGTGTACAAATACGTGGCTTGTCGGGCACTTTGGAAAATAAACTCGTTCAAGCGAAATGTTTTCAATGAACCATCTGACCGATGATTTGGGTGCACTTTGTAAGAGAACTTTGGGTGGACTCTGGTAAAAATACTACCAGCCTGACCCTTTAGGCACACTTTGTAAAAGAGCACCTTTGAACGCGCTTATTGAAAGAGCCATCTGTCCGGCTAGTTGAGAGCACTTTGTGTCAATGACCCTCCTGACCTATCGTTTGGGTGCACTCTGTAAAATAGATATCTGCCAGACCTTTTGGGCAGCACAATGAAATAGAGCCGCCTACCGTGCCAACTGGGTACACTTGGGAAATGAACACCAGTCCAATTCTTTTGAGTGTCATTTCTAAAGGGGCCACCCTCTCTCTGAGACTCGCAGTACACTTGGTGCATGAATCAGCATGCCCTCCTTTTGGGTGCACCTTGAAAAAGGGTCTAACGGGCCATATCACGTGGAGTGCACTTTGTGAATTCTCCGCCTGCTCGCTCGCCCCTCCACAGGCAACCTGCTCGTCGTGGTGATCATCGCCGTCACCAAGCAGTTCCACTCGGTCACCTCGGTCTTCCTCGTCAACCTGGCCGTGAGCGACTTCTTGGTGGGCGTCGGGGTGATGCCGTTCGTGGCCATGTCCGTCGTCTACGACGGCTGGGTTCTACAGCAGGTGCGCGGGTCTCCCTCGTCCCACACAATTCACTCGCACCCACCGCGCAGTCTCATCACGTGGTCGCCGTCGTCTTCAGCAGCAGCATCCATCGGATGATCTATTCAAAGATGCGCGTCCTTCATTCGAGGTGTTTGAATCTCCTGGTTCCTCGCAAGGACAGCTGCCTCAATGGGGGAGGAGGGGTGGGGTTGTGTCTGCGTCTGGCGACGTTTCGTTATCCGACGGCGCAATAATATGGACGCACGTTCGTGCACAACCAACTTGCTCACAAATGTGGGATTCCATTCATTCGCTCCTTCATTCTTGAAGCACTCGGCAATTCATCATCTTGGGAAGATGATTCCAGGAAAGATTATTGGTGCACGTTTTATCAGTGCCTCGTAATTAATTGCCCACGTGGTGTCAGCAGATACTCGAGAGCAGTGGTTCTTAACCCTGACTGCAGCCTGCAACCCTTTTGGTTCTCAGAAAGGGCATCTCGCACCCCCTGGGGGGGGGGGGGGGGGGTGCGTGCACGCCAGGTTAAGAAGAAGAAGAACCACTGCTCCAGAGAGCGCCTTAAGCTAGGAGGCCGACTATCGCCACGGAAGGAGTAGTGACGCTGCGATTAGCGCACTGCGCTATGAACCCGGTGCAACGGGCAGCAACAGTGGCGAGTGAAATCTAAGCCGATGTTGCTCCCCCCCCCCTTCCCCACCCTTCACCAACCCTGACTGACCAGCGTGGCGAAGTATGGTCAAACAACACCCGGGACCCCCACGGCTTAGGATGGGGCGCCTTGGAGTAGTCGATTGACCGGAGAGAGGACGGCTGCAACGTAGTCGCGTTACATTGACTGGCAGTCGGCGGTCCGATCGAAGCGAACGCAGTCAAGGAGGGTACAAACAAACGCACGTTTAATACTCGAGGTGCATGATCGTGGTGAATGGTGTCGTGCCTCACGTGGCTGCGGGGATCGCGTGACTCGAATGCATGCAAAGGGTGCGAATGTAAAACATAAACTAGATTCTTGCACAAGCGATGCGCGATGCATTGTGAGTTTATCACTCGATAGTCATCGATATTCATCGATTAATCGATGCACGTCTTAAGTTAAACCCCTGCAGTCCCCAAAGTAAACTCAATGGAACCCCACCCCCACACCCCCCTTTTAACCTTCACGTTTACCCCCTGAGCTCCCCCCCACGTTCACCCTCCACCCCCGCGTTAACCCCCCCCCGCCACGTTCACCCTCCACCCCCGCGTTAACCCCCCCCCCGCCACGTTCACCCTCCACCCCCGCGTTAACCCCCCCCCCGCCACGTTCACTCTTCACCCCCACCACAACATCTGCACCCACTCCCCTCCACGCGTCATACCCCCCTCCACCCCGCCACCCCAACCCCGCCACCCCAACCCCGCTCCACGTGTCCACAGCCCCTGCCCCCTTGGCGCCTGACCCCCTTGCACCCCGCGTGCCGTGCGCCACAGGGGCTGTGCCTCTACGTGGGCTACACCTGCACCCTCTACTGCACCGCGTCGGTGCTCACGCTCGCAGCGATCGCCCTCGACCGCTACCGCGCGATCATCGACTGCTTCAACTACAGCTCGCAGGCCAACGTGCGGAGAACCGTGGGCACCGTGGGATGGATCTGGGTGCAGGCCGCCTTGTCCAGTAGCCCGCCCGCCCTCGGCTGGGGCCGCTTCGCCTACAGCTCGTGGGCGTTCCGGTGCGCCGTGGACAGCGCCAGCAGCCCCGGCTACACGGTGTTCGCGGCCGCCTGCTCATTCGCGCTGCCCGCCTGCGTCATGATCTTCTGCTACGTGCGCATCGTACAGGTGCGTTGGGGCACGGCGGGGGTGGTAGTGGTGGTGGTGGGGGGGGGGGGGGGTGATGGAGGAGGAGGGAGGAGAAGGGGGAGGGAGGAGGAGGGAAGAGGTAGAAGCAGCAGGAGGGAGGAGGAGGAGGGGTGATGATGATGGATGAGGGGAGATTGAGCGGGACTCGGCGCGCATGCGAGAGGCTACGAGTTTGTCACGCTGTGTCAAGGGTTGGTCACGGAAATCGCGAATTTGAATGAAGTCTTACGAGAACTCTTTGGCGGTATGGGTATAGGGCTGTCACGTGGTTTACGGGTATGGTTTATGTTTACATTTTTTATATTTTATATTGAAAAAAAAAATAGTGCGTGAAACCGCTCCATATTATTCAGCGACCTTTCCGTAAATTCTTCGGTTTTTTCCCCCTCGCCTCGGCCATGGATTTTATCAAACATAGCAAAGCCCTCACCTTGTGCTGCACCTGTGCAGACCCCTCGCTTCGTCCACCTGTGCCAGACCCCTCACCTTGTGCACGGTGTCCAGGGTGGGGGGGGGGGCTCGGTGCGGGGGGTCAAGAGATTCCCCGCCCAAAAAATGCGGACCGCGCGACTCACTTCTAGATGTTGGGTGGTTCAACACTTTTGGAAAATATCAGACGTGATTTTTTTTTCTCAATTTCCCCATGTTTACCCAACATTCACAGCTCAACTTACGTCGCTGCGCGCTGCACGCACCTTATGATTGTTAAACACGTACCACGTGGCGCGCGTGGGATGGAGGTCTTGCGTGCGGGCGTGTGTCTCACGTGACATCGGCTGGCATTACCGACGACGACGACGATGGCGAGACGACTATAACGATAATCGCAATGACGATGACCCATGAAGACGTTGGTGATTATATCAATAATAACAATTCGAAAAAAGACGTGACGATGGAGACGATATCTTATGATGATGATTGTGCCGTTGATGACCATGACGATGGCTATAATGCTGCTACTGCTGCTGATGATGACAATGCCGCTGACGATGATGACGACGATGACGACGACGATGATGTTGATGATTCGCATCACTGCAGGTGGCTCGTGACCACGCGCGCAGGATCCACGACATCGAGACGCAGCTGCAGCGCAACGGCAAGAAGAAGAGCGACGAGTGCGAGAAGGAGGAGCAGACTCGCAGGAAGAGGAGGAGCAAGCACAAGCACAAGAAGAAGAAGGTGGTGGTGCAGCAGGAGGTGCAGGAGGAGGCGTTGCGCGGATCCGCGCAGCCCATCGCCGGCATCCCCACCACCAACTCCCTCCCCGGAGAACATTTCTCCGGCACGGCCGCGAACCTCAGCGTGCCCTCCTTCTCCTCGACCGGCTACAACTCCTCCTCCACCACCTCCTCCTCCTCCTCGTCATCCGCCTCGTCCTCGTTCGAGCACCCGGCGGCTCGCGTGTTCGCGGAGCCGCACTCGGAGGAGACCCCCAGCGGCTCGGAGCCGGCGACTCGCGCGCGGAGCCGGCGCCACGACCTCTTCGCGCGCTACAACGCGCCGGGCCGCGAGCACCACGGCGCCTTCCGTCTCTTCCTCGTCATCTTCGCCTTCTTCTGCTGCTGGCTGCCCTACGAGGTGGTGAGCCTGGCGCTGGCGGTGCGGCCCGCGGCGGGCGTCCCCTACACGGTGCTGACCCTCGCCTCGTGGCTCGCACTGCTCAACTCGGCCGTGAACCCGCTGCTCTACGCGCTGCTCAGCAAGAGGTTCCGCAAGGCGCTGGGCAGCCTGCGGCAGCGCCTGGCGGCCAGGCTGAGCCTCGTGGTGGGCGGAGACCGCGTCCACTCCTCGCCGTTTGCGGTGAGCAACGCGACGAACAACCATCATCATCAGCAGCAGCAGCGTGAACTTTCGCAGCAGCAGAAGCAGCATCACGTGCACCATCAGCAGACTTTTCAGCAGCTGAGCTTACAGCATCATCAGCATCATCTTAACAACAATCATCAGCTTCAACAGGATGAGCATCATGCTTTTGATCTGCGCAATCATCATCTCAATAATCATCATAATCACGATCATCTTCAGCAGTTGCAGCAGCAGCAGGCGAACAAGGGCTGCTGCAGGAGGCAGAGCGGGAACGGGAACGGAGCCGGTGCCCTCCCAATGTCCGTGCTCTCGGAGGCCGCGGGGGAGCTGAGGTGCGCCCCTCACGGCCGCTCCTACTCCCTCTTCTCCATTGCGTCTCTCGCCGACACGGGCACCGCCACGCCGGGAATCTCTCCCATCTTCCACCAACTGGACCCCCCAGCGCACCAGCTGCGCTTCTCCGGGCTGCAGCAAGAGGCGCAGCTGCCGCGTGCCTCCGCCGTGGGGCCACGCGGGTGCGAGCACTCGGACGAAGTGTTACTCAATCCTCTGGAGCTCGAGACGTGCCTGGAGGAGGAGCAGCAGCAGCAGCACGTGACGCTGGAGGTGCCAGTGCTGCCTTCTCAGCCTCTGACTAATGCACAGCAGCAGCAGCTAGAGCACAGGACGGCGGACGAGGAAGCCACCATCGCCACAACTCCCTCCTCCTCGACCTCTTCCTCGCCTTGCGCAGGCTCCACCTTTACGTTTGGGAAGATCACGGTGGAGGTCGATGACTGTGAAACGCGACATTAGCGGATTCTTCATATCGCACTGTTTCAGATTTGTTTTTTGTTGTTCGGCGTAAGTGTCTCCCTGTTCAAAGTGAGCACTGGGCAGTTGCTCAATCTGCCTTGCGGACCCAAGGCCGGTGGCCGAGACGTTCCTACGGCGAATAGACCGGACGGTCGTCAATACAACCGCCGTTGTTGGCTTCCAATACAGTTGTATTTATTTTAGCGACCGCGAAGGCTTGGAAGGATTGATTGGACCACCTCGACGGGGATGCGAACTCGGTTCCGTTCAAAGTCGCGGCCACTTTGTAGCCTCTGCCAGCCAGTCGCGTGCCACACACGCGGTGTGCAGCGATAGGCGATGGGCGCTTACATGGATTGAAATAAGACGCGTATTCTCACGATACATGCGTGGAAGCGCGCGCGTAAGAATCGAATGTGGAACGATCGATTCAAACCGATGTGGTTTTATTTTACGTTCGTGATACCACCAGCGTGCATCGAGGGGTTCGCGTTACGGATCGATCATTTACAATGATTGGTGCCGACTAAAGAGAGATCGCAAAGGCGACGAACGGTACTGACGGGCACGGTGCAGTAGAGACAAAGGAGCGTACGTGCGTTGAACTTCTTTCGCACCGTACGTAGCCAACCGCGCCAATCGTAGGCGCGGCACAGACGGGGCGGGCGAGACAGACGGCGAGACGGCAGCTACAGACAGACGCAGGCAGTGGACACTGGTCGGTGCAGTCGGAGTCACGAACAAGGCACGGCCATCGATTGTGTTCTTGAATCAAAACCTTCACCACGAACGAGACCGTGGTTCGCGGTAAGGGAGGGGGCTGTGGGGGGTGTGGGGGTGTGGGGGCTGGGGGGGCTGTGGGGGGTGTCTTGAATCGTCGCACGAGTTTCGCGCAGCGGGCTGCTCGTCAGCCGCCGCGGGCCGAGTGGTGAGCAGCGTGGTGTGTGTGGTGTGTATTGTGTGTGTGTGGTGTGTGTGGTGTGTGTGTTGTGTGTGTGTTGTGTGTGTGTGGTGTGTGTGTTGTGTGTGCTGTATGTGTGTTGTGTGTGTTGTGTGTGTGTGTGGTGTGTTGTGTTTGTGGTGTGTGTGCTTTGTGTGTGTGTGGTGCAGGTGTGTTGTGTGTGTTGTGTGTGTGTGGGGTGTTGTGTGTGTTGTGTGTGTGTGTTGGTGTGTGTTGCGTGTGTGCTGTGTGTGTTGGTGTGTGTGCTGCGTGTGTGCTGCGTGTGTTGTGTGTGTGTTGTGTGTGTGTGCTGCGTGTGTGTGTTGTGTGTGTGTTGGTGTGTGTTGCGTGTGTGCTGTGTGTGTTGGTGTGTGTGCTGCGTGTGTGCTGTGTGTGTTGTGTGTGTGTGCTGCGTGTGTGTGTTGTGTGTGTGTGTTGGTGTGTGTTGTGTGTGTGCTGTGTGTGTTGGTGTGTGTGCTGCGTGTGTGCTGCGTGTGTTGTGTGTGTGTGGTGTGTGTTGTGTATGTGTGCTGCGTGTGTTGTGAATGTGTGTTTGCGTGTGTGTGTGCTGCGTGTGTGTTTGCGTGTGTGTGTGCTGCGTGTGTGTTGTGTGTGTGTGCTGCGTGTGTGTTGTGAATGTGTGTGCTGCGTGTGTTGTGTGTGTGTTGTGAATGTGTGTTGCGTGTGTTGTGAATGTGTGTTGCGTGTGTTGTGAATGTGTGTTGCGTGTGGACGCGACGCGGGCGAGGCTTGTTGAGCAGGGACACAGCGGAGAGGCTGGCAGCCGCCTCGGCGCGTGCCGCAGTTCGCCCACGGGCCCCGGAGCTCTCCTCTCTCGTGGGGAGGACCCCCCACGGGGCCCGCGTGGCGAGCCCGACACCGGCCCCGTCAGAGTTTTGGCTGCTCGGTCAAAATCTGCTGCGAAAACATCGATGAACTAAAAATGTGTGTGTGTGTTTTGTAAAATACCTTGTACATATATAGATATTCTTCTGACTGTGTTTTTTGTGTGTTTTCCATCGAGTCACTCACTGTATAGAGAGATATATATACAGTATAGAGAGTGTAGAATAAAACATTGAAGCGGACACTCGCGATTGGAGCTCATCAAGGCGTCGTCGTCGTTGTCTGTGTTCGACGCTGCCTGTGTGAGATGCGACGGCTCCGTCCTCACGATGATGAACCCCTCGCCCCGTGACCTCTTGTCCCGTCAACTCCAGCCCGCAGACACGCGCACCAACAACCTCCGTCCAACTAATCGATATGCACGCGGTAAATATTACAATCGAAATATGTATTATTTTTATATTGTCACGATTAACGTGTAACGTCTCATCGTGCGAACACTTTCTGCGTGTGTGGTGTGTGCAGGTGATTGTTCACGAAGGCCCAAATGCGCGCGCGTCTCTGAGCTGGGTTCGTTTCGCGTTTTGCAAGCTGCGATGTGAGTCGTGCATGTTCAGCCGCCCTCTGGCTACAATCTTTGTTAACTCTCAATACCGGGTTGCCACCTCGGAGGTACATAACACCGGGACATATCGTGGGGGGTAAACAGGAGAGAGAGAGAATCTTGATTTGAACTTTCGTGACTGCAGGAATCCATACTCTTTGGTTCTTTCGGTAAAGTCACTTAGGTAGAAAATAAAATAAATCACGACGTTTCGGGCGCAACACAAGCGTCCGTCATCCGGTGGGAAAGCATGGCCTGCTGTTGAGGCAGACTGTTTTAAAAAGTTTGAAATGGGTGTAGCCCAAGGGTCATAAAGAAGTGGCCGGGGCTAGAGATGTTAATGCGAGAGAGAGAGAGAGAGAGCTGTACATGTAACTGGCAAAAAAAAACCCAGACTTTGAATGATTGTCGTTCCCGGAAAACGTACTAATTTACCGGGATAGCAGACTCCGAAAAGGACGACCAGTGGTAAATCAGGAGAGGTGCAGCAGCAGAAGCATCCATTTGTTGTACAGTACGTCTATGCTCCCTGCCTTCGCCAACCCGAACTGACCAGCGTGGTGAAGTATGGTCAAATAACCCCCCCCCCCCACCACCACGAGCCACACAGCGTTGGGACGATACCCTCATCAAACAGTGGATCGGGAAGAAGTAAAACCGCCTTGATCAATGCGTGTGGAATTAGACGAACCCACAATCTGAAATCTCGGCCGAGGTTAATTAAAAACGCGTTGGACTGGCGTCACAGTGACGTCACTGTGGTACCACTGTGACGTCACTCTGGGGTGGTTCTTCTGCATCCCCAGGGGGTGTGAGATGCCCTTTCTGGGGGTGCGAGACGTGGCCAGATTCTATTTTTGAAAGTAAATCATCGAAACACAAATTAAACACGGACACGTCAGTTACGACATACTTCGTTTCCTCAAACCCTCTATGTATTTATTAACATATAAAAAAAAATAACGATTGTGAACCCAAGTGGTGTGTAAGGCTGCGGTAAAGGTGAAGAACCGCTGCTATGGAGGTTTTGAAACCCGCGTGAGAGCCCGCGGGACACGAGGCGTGTCGCTGGCGACACGAGAGGAGCCCTCCCCGAGGTGCGGGGGTCGTGTGCCCCCCCCCCCCACAACTGTGCCCCCTTACCCACCATTAATCAGACGGTATCGGTGAATGAATACATGACGGTATGTGCTTCAAATGAAGAAGTCCTTTTCAACTCAAGTGTCCCGTGTGTTGATTGTCTCTTCCCACGTGCCGTTAAGATATTGCTTCGGGGCTTGGATATTGGCTTTCATCCAGCGGTGGATATATCTTGGCAGGAGGCGGTCGTGGTGGCGGTGATGATTGTGATGATGTCCGCACGCACAAACCGTGTATTGCTCGTACCGTGAATATACAGGACTGCAGGTATTCACTGCAATTGTGCGGGCGCACGTGCCAAGCGAGGTGCATTTCAAGATGAGTTTCACGAGATATTTATTCTCGCGTTACAGGTTCATTTCCTAGCTGTCAAAATCTGCCGCGGCTCTGTGTATATACACATGTGTATATGCACTGCATTTTGAACTTATTTCGCATCGTCATCAATGGGGATACAAAGGCGGTCGGGCCGTGCCTGCTTTAAGAGATCGCTTGCGTAACGTTTCCCCCAGCGGTCTCTGACGACCGATGGGGAACCTCTGCGTCTGTGCGTGGAGGGTGAGAGGGTGGCTGAGCGATGGCGCAGTGGTGAGCGCACCGCACCGCAAGCCTGGTCATATAGGTTCGAATTAGGGCCGCACCTTTAACCTTTTAACCGAGACACGAGGGGGGGGGGGAGACGCAACCACGCGGTAACTTTAAGCCTGCCGCTGGTGAGTTTAAGATGACTGCCCCTGACCAATCAGAGTCGCAGGCGCCGTGCTATTAAAATAATCGATGACTACAGGGCATCTGTCGGGGGTGGGGGGGGGGGAAAGAGCTTTATAGCTCATCGGATTCCTCCGGTAGAAATCCATATTCTGATTCGGCATGACGAACGTTTTGAAGCGGTAATCGCCTCTGAAAGCGGTTACCGGGGTCTACCGATAGCGCCGCATGTACGTCGCATATTTACCGCGGGCTTATTACGCAATGCTTAATCTTTTTACGCTCTTCACGTTGCCAATCCGCGACGCGACAGCGCTGCCGGAGTTGTCGGGAAAGCCTCGAGCCGGGTCCGGCGGCCGCAGTCGCCTCTCCCTCCTCTCGGCGAGTGGCGGGGCCCGGGACGGCGGCGGCGGCGGAGGCGGCGATGTGCAGCGAGACGTCGCCGCTTCCTGGGGCCGATGCGGAGTCTCTGATGGACCCAGCGTCGTTTCCCAGGCACGGTCAAAACAAACACGTCTCTATTAATGAGCACTTCCCCGCTATAATAACCATGGTTACCCAGGTGCCTGACATGATATTAACGAATCGCAATGCCCCCCCCCCCCTTCCACCACCACCTGCTTTTCCCAATTAAACAAAGGAAATTGGTTTGCACTCGTAAGGATTAAAAAAAGTGCGCGCCTCCAGGTACCCGCGCGCGCGTGTGCGTGTCAGCTTATTATTATTCAATGTAGCGTGGTGCAGATGTTAACAACCGTATCATGATTGTGTTAACTATTGAAAGCCGTAAATAGATAGGCTGCAGCTGGTGGTGGAGCCGCCGCGGAACGAACGTAGCAGGGCACGCGTGTGTGTGTACGTGCGTGTGTGTACGTGCGTGTGTGTGCGCGTGTGTGCGTGTGTGTGCGTGTGTGTGTGTGCGCGCGTTTGCGTGTGTGCGTGTGTGCGCGTGTCTGTGCGTGTGTGCGCGCGAGCGGTGTGTGTGTGTGTGCGTGTGTGCGTGTGCGTGCGTGTGTGTGTGTGAGTGCGTGTGTGTGTGTGCGTGTGTGTGTGTGTGCGTGTGTGTGTGCGTGTGTGTGCGTACGTGTGTGCGTGTGTCATTACCACAAACATCGCTTTCCACCATCACCACAACAACAACCGCCACAACCACCACCACAACCACCACCTGTGTTTTCAAGGCACTGCACGAATTTCTTGGTGCCACAACTATGAATTGGCAGCCTTGTGGACATTGTGATGCTGTGGGCATCTGACCAAGAAACAACACGTGCTTGAAGGCTCCTGTGTGGATGTCATTTATATTTGTTTAACGCGTCGGCTTTCACGACCAATATTATCCGTAAGAGCGATTTTTGGGTTAGATCGCGTCAATGTAAATGTGTCGTTCAACCCGCCACCACCCGACACAGCCAATAACACAATCACTAATTGGTTGCGTTGGGTGGTGGCGGGTTTAACGACACATTTCTATTTACGCGATCTAACCCAAAAATCGCTATTGTGGCCATTTATGTTTGTGATATGCAGATT